TCCCAGGGCCTCCATGTCCCCACGGGGCCCGGGAGCCCTGTGCTCACTGAGGCCGAGGGCCGCGGAGAGAGCGTCAGGGACCCCCAGCCCTGCACACGTGAGAAACACATGTTCTGCCACACGTGACGCAGCCCGAGCCCGTGTGTTCTCACAAGGAGCGTCCTGTGCAGACCACGGCCGCTGGGCAAGCCCCTCCCTGTGGCCCTGCAGTTGCTGACAGTTTACGGTGGGAAACTGCCACCGAGATGTCCACCTCTTTGGGGGAATAGGGTCCCCTCTTGGCCCCCACACTGTCCTGTTCCCCGCGGCTGTCGTAGTCCTCATAGTCGTCTACTGCTTCCTCTCCGACTGGCTGAGCCCAAGGGTGCCGCCTCGGGTAAGAGAACTCCCTAGAGCGCAATGCAAGGCCCTTCTGTGAAGACGACTCCGTGAAGTTAACGCTAGCTACCTCTCAAGTCCTGCTAATTTCTTCAAAATTAGAAAAATAGCAACTTCACCTTGAGTAAGTCGGCTGTGAGCTCATCTGTGTCGGTCCGGGGTCCGACCTCCTCCTGCTGTGACAGAGTTAGGCTAACCCTGGCCCCTGTGGCTCCCGTGGTCGAGCATCATCCTATGCACCAGAGGGTCACGGGTTCAATTCCTGCTCAGGGCACATACCCAAGTTGTGGGTTCAATCCCCGGTCAGGGCTCTACAGGAGGCAACAGATCCAAGTTTCTCTCTCACATTGATCTTTCTCTTTCTCTTCCTTCCTCCTTCTCTAAGATCAATTAAAAAAAAAAAAAAAAGACTACCTGGCCAGTGTGGCTCATTGGTTGGGTGTTGTCCTGAGCACCAACAGGTAGCAGGTTGGATTCCTGGTCAGGGCACATGCCCGGGCTGCGGGCTCAGTCCAGGGTCCGGGGTGCACAGAAGGCAGTTGATCAATGTTTGGCTCTCACATCAATGTTTCTCTTCCTCTCTCTCCCTTCCTCTCTCTCTAAAACCAATAAATTAAAAAAAAAAAAAAAACTGAAACCAAACCATGTGACTGTAAAAGCAGGTGTCAGGGTGAGGCCCCGCTGCACCCACCCCAGTGACCGACGGCCTTGTCTCCTCAGATGCGCATCCCGCCCTGTCGCTGCGATCTGGGTCTCCACCTGCCGGACGCGGGCGCACCTGCCGGCCCCGGGGCTGTGCCGGACCTGCCGAGGCTCCCGGTGAGTAAGCCGCTCTGACCTGTGGGCTGGCCCAGCGTTCTGCTGCCCTGAAATCAGTCCCTCTCTGGAATGCGGCACCTTAGCTCCGCCCCCAATCTGGAATCTGCAGAGTGACGGGGCCACACACTCTGTGGTTGACTTGCCATATGGTGTCCACAGAGACATGGACATTCACTGCAAGGCGCCCCATTGAGCTCCGATACTTTGAACAAACACATGGCATGTTAGATGGGTCGTTTTCAATGCCAGACCTGATTCTACCAAGAGGACATTTTTATGTATGTTAACGAAAAATAAAAAACACATTGAAACCTGTAAGGAATTTTTTTTTAAGATACATTTTATTGATTTTTTTACAGAGAGGAAGGGAGAAGGATAGAGAATTAGAAACATCGATGAGAGAAACATCGATCAGCTGCCTCCTGCACACTCCCCACTGGGGATATGCCCGCAACCAAGGTACATGCCCTTGACTGGAATCGAACCTGGGACCCTTCAGTCCGCAGGCTGATGCTCTGTCCACTGAGCCAAACCGGTTAGGGCTCCTCTGTTTTTTTTTTTTTTTTTTTTTTTTTTTTTTTTTTTTTTTTACAAGTTACCCAGACGTTTCAAGGGTATGTTATCTTAGAGGCAAAAAGACAGACAGGCTCAGTTAAGGTAAAGGTTGACCTTGTCAGTGAAGATACCGGCCTACGACGCAACTGACCCCCATCACTGCTTTTAGTTAAAGTTTAATTTCAGACCATCCTTTGTGGTTACTTTAGGTCTCTGAGTCTGCAAGACCGCCATGCAGGCCTCCCCTGAGTTGTCAGGTCAGCCTGTGGCCCCTTCCATCCACATGTACAAAGAAAAGCAAAGGGAATAAAGCAAAAATCAGTTCAAGAGACGCCCTTTTCCGTTGTCAACTTAGGTTGAACTACTGTGGATAGCGCTACATCTGGGCAAAATAGTTTCTAACATTTTCCAATTGAAAGGATATTCTTAAAGGGGCCAAGAAAAAGCGATCCACTTCCGTGGCTCCCCACGGCTGTGTCCACCCAGGCGGATGCCTGGACAGCCTGCCTGCATATCAGCCCAGCACGCTCCCTGCCTCCAGTCCCAGATTCCACCGCCCTCCCCCACACCCTCCATCCTGCCCGCACAGACGGTCTTCACACAGGGAGACAAAAGATGCATTTTTCACTGTTTGCATTTGGTCCACCCACTCCCCTCTCCCGCTGCTTTTACTATTAACGGTGCTTCTAATTTTGCAAAGAGTCTGAGATTTAGCTCCTTTCCCCCAGCTGAGCACCCTGGGAGCCGGGCCCTCCGGGGCCCATACTTCAGCATCTAATGTGACTCAAGCCCTTTCGCAAGGGTGGGAATCTTCAAATGCAGCTATGATTCCTTAAATACTTTTCAGAGAAGGGAGAAGTAAATTAATATGGCGGGAACTATAAAGAGGTAGACATTTACTTAGATGTTAGCTCCCACGAGTTGAGGAATTGGAACAATATTCCTGGGGTCGGTCGACTGTAAAACCAATGAGTCATCCAGGTTTATCTGGAAGTAAAAATGGCCATTTTCTTCACACCTTCATTCATGCACGGAAGGGAGAAATCCTCCTGTCATAAGAGCTCCTCAAACTCTCCCCATCGATGACAAGAGATAAGGCGGCCGATCATGTAAAATTACCACCCGTGAGGCCTGCATTTGGAAAAGACTCCACGCTGTGTCATGCCTGCATTTCCAAGCAGCGCTTACGCAAACAGACTCTCGGCGTGACGGCAGAATTCGCAAAGACCGGGATTAGTTTTAAGAGGCCGCTCCGTGCTTGTTTCCGGAGCACATTTGTGAAATGACAGCGCGTTCGCCCGCGTTGGGCACCTCCGCTGGCCTGTGAGGCGGAGGCTCACCCCCTGACCCAGTGCATCACGAGGCAGCTCGACATAAATGAGCAGATGAAATCCAGAGGCGATCCATTTCCGCCCAGGTTTTTGTGCAGAAAGGGAGCCGAGAGCCGAGGTGTCCGAGGGGGTGCTGGGCGGGGGTGGGGGGCAGGCTGTGCTGAGCGCAGCTTTCTGGTGTCTTGTCAGGGACTGAGTTTGGGGCTACCTCCCGTGGCCGGGTCGCCCTGCCAAGCTCCCCGTGGCTCTGGGTCGTAGCAAGTCCCCCGAGGTCTCTCCGAGAGGTGATGGAACTAGGGCAGGACAGGCGTGAACCCGGGGCCTGGGCAGGACGCAGGCTGAGCACATGGAGAGAGACCGGCTGCCTCGCGGGCAGGTCTGGCTCAGGCTCAGGTTGCCGCGCCGAGCGGTGAAACACACTGGGCTGGGAGCGCATCTTGAACCCGGCCGACCGCAGGCCGATTAAGGAAGGCAGTTCCTGTGACGTGCTCCCTGATGCTCAGCATCCAGCTGCTCTGAGCTGGCGGGAACCCGGGACACATGCCTGGAGAGAAATCCAGGTCTGCCCTCTGGCCTCTCCAGCCTGACCCACCTGGGCACATGGGGCCAGTTCTCGGGAACGGGGGGGGGGGGGGCCCAGCTGTCCTGCCCCCCAA